TGAAGATTTTATTTGTTATTAGCATTTACAATTTCTTTTTATAAAACTTATCTCTAGTTTCAAAAATAAGCATTTTGCTATTTTATAATAATTAATAATATAAAAAGTTTTTAAATGAAACTTCACAGCAGGTCATGCCACACACCACTTTAAATTTTTTGCCGGAGAAGTCACGACTTGCATATCTTTCCCAGCAAAGAAAAAACAAAAAAGAAAAACACTTATAGGTTTCCTTGGTGGTACGAACTGCATTAATTGCAGATTTTTTCTTTTAGCGTTCGAACGTATTATATTATACTTATTGACTTTTACTTCTTTATTAAAATTATTTCTAGTTTATACAGAATAATGGAAATCAGCTTCTTAATAAAAAAGACAGTGATAATAAGTTAAATTTCTTAGATATTGCAATTCTAAATGAACCGAATAAATTTACATATAAAATTTTTGAATTCATTTGTAATGTTAAACGAAAATCTATTATTTTTTTTAAGTTTCCCGAGTAAAATTAAAAAAGATGCTTATATTATGGAATTGAAAAAAAAATTTAATAGAACATACGAAAAAAGATACAATACAAGAAATTATAAAAATTAATTAACATACATATTAAATGATTCTCCAAATTTAATATTTAAAAATGGCATAATCACTTTCTTCTTCAGAAATGTAATGTGAAAAGATATATAAAAAATGAAGTAATTTTCATAAAATTTCCTTATATTATAACTATTTTTGAAAAATTTTCAAATTAGATACGCAAATTTAATATATGCATTGCCCACGCATTATGCAATAAATTAAAAAATATATTGCTTAAAAATAATAGGACAAAAAAAAGGAGAAACACAGACAATGCAAGTATAGTTTATAAGATCACATTTCATATGTCAATTTCCTTATTATTATATAAAACAAGCAACAAAATTTCAGATAAAAGATTAAAAGAACGTGAAGCTGCTATACGTCTTAAATATAAATAATTACCTTGGTATTATCATACAGAACAAACAGGATATACAATACATATTAAGATTTTTATATAATTTTTATGAGAATGATATACTGTATATATAAACAATTTTAAAGAACACATAAACTTTAAAATGTTTATGAAAGGAAATACTATGAATACTAGTGAAGGCATGCAAATTTCTACGAAGTGGTATGACATCATATCGGTGCAGCGATTGTGGGTGATTCTAGAAACGTATTTACCCGTACTTGAATAATAATATTATTATTTGATCTAACATAAGGTTTGGTTTTTAAAGATGGCGATTTGTTAAGTCAGCCGAAAGCATTTTCAGTTTAAAGATGTAGATAACTTTATATTTATTTATTTTAAAAATGATTTTAAAGTGATTTTAAAATGATGAAAAGGGGCCGTAAAATAAAAGTCAACACGAAATGCATTTAATAAAGTATGCAATCAACCAGACAAAATAAAGTTATAAGCTAAATCATCTGTTTTTGGATCATTGAAATCGCCCAGATTATTCTCATATGTCATGCAGGATTGCAGAGTTTAAAAAATTATTTAATAGGAGATATACTCGGTAATTCTAATAGTAAAGGTTAAAGTTTGCTAATTTTAAAATATCATAGGCCTATGTAATTTTTGTTTCTATCAAATATAATAAAATAATCATCTATATACCTGCAGTAAAATAAAACTTTATTTAAACATGTTACTATCTTTTAGCTTAAAAGTCGAATAAAAAGGAATCTAAAAACGGCTGTGAGTTTTTACAAATATATCAATAATATCACCGAGTTATAGACTACGGATTTGTGAATAGTATAAAATTAACGAATAAATATGTTTATCATCATCTTAATGTAAAAATAATGTACTAACTTCAGATGCCCGACTATGTAAAAAGGAAAGTAATAAATGAAAAGCAAAACTTACCTGGAAAATATCCAGAATAATGGAAAATAGTTTTTATTTAGGGATTTAGTGCCAGTATCTTATTTGTTAGCTCTGATTTAAAATATTTCTAAAGTAAAAATAGAATAGTACTGTATATGGAAATAATAACTAAATAAAGAATATCCCGAGCTTAATTAATACGTCCGAATCATCAATTTTAAGGTTAATGACGTGTGCACACGTAATGGGTCTTAGGAAAAATTTTTATGCTTAAAATGTTCATGCTAGGATAGATTTTCAAGAAGACTTTTGCTTCATTTCGATAATATACAATTAAAGAACTGCTCGTAAATTATGCTTTGGCAAACGATAGTAATGTGTCTCGTGCAACATGTCTTATCACTGAAGAAATTTGAGGGAAAAGCTTAAATAACATCACTATCTTTCAAAAATAATAAAAATATATTTGATTGCATAAACTTCGTTATATCGACGTCTGTACAATAAATAATATTTACCTTTTGTCAATTAAGTTAATTTTCAATTTTGAGATACATAAAACCATTAATATCACAGTTTATGTTGCCAGATCATCGGTTCTTACCGTTGCTGATTCCTTAAGTGCATCTGTCGGAATAGATTGTCTTCATTTTTACAATTCATACGGAGATATGGTCTTTCGTCATGTCCTCCGAATGGCCTTAGCCAAAGCTGTTCGAGTAGCAGAGCTGAGGCTCGATGATTTTCCAAGTTCCCTAAACTTCTACACTGATCCTAAAAAGTTACAAACAACAGCATAAAGATAAACAGGTACAAATATTGTACATTATTCTGGATATTCCTTTCGCATTCCCTGCATTAGCAGGAAGCTTGAAGGATTGGAGGACTTGAGGAAGCCGAAAGGGGTCGACATCCTCATCAGTAAGCCCCGGATTTTTCGGATCGATAAAAGTGGAGTTTCGGATCCGAAATCGGATCGAAAACATAACGTTTCGGATTTATTTTTGGAACAAAAGCATAATAATAATAAAACAAAATTATCAAATTTTCTTCGGTTATCTGTTTTTTAATTAATGCAGTATACAATATTATAAACTGTTTGAATATGACCATGCACATACAAGAAATCTATTAAAATTTTCTTTTGTCAGACTTTGTCAGTGATCGATGAGAATGATTTTATGCAATGAAAAACTTCTCTCGGCCTCAGGATAGTATTTCAACGACCCTACATTCTCAGGGATCTCCGACGATTTTCCGACTAGACATGGCGAAGAACTGAAAAACCACTGTTGTTCTCCAAAAGTGCCGCCAGCTTCGTGCTAAGTTTGTCTCCACATACACCAGGATAGAACCCTCTGTTATTTGTAAAATGTTTTAGAGATTCTTCAAATGCCAACCCTCTTGCTTCTAATGCTTCAATGATATTCGGAAAATTTAAGAAATGGGCGCAAATGTAAACTAGAAAAGCAGTTAAATATGGATTCGCCAAAGCTTCCTTAACATCCACAATGAAAGAACTTTCTGATTCATCCAGTTCATTGATAAAATTTTGAAAGTCACGTAAATGGTCCGCATAGAATACTGCCGCTTTTATCTTTATGCTCCATCTCGTGACTATGGGAAAAGGTGGCAAAGAAGTGTCTGGCAGACGCTCACAAGGCATAACCGTTCGCATTATTGCCTTTGCAATTAGTTTCTTGCCGGAACAAACGGGGACGTTTACATCTTTAAAATGTAAACAAACTTGTTCGGCTAGAAGATGTAAGGTGTGATTCTGCTGATCAGGTGAAATACGATTATATAAAAAATGCTTCAAAATGCGTGCAGTAACCTTCATATATGCTGTGCTGTCTAAGTATGACGAGAACTTTTTCAGTATTCTGGAGAAATTGATCATGCCACAATAACATTAGACCTTCCTGAACAATTCTTGCTATCGCCTCTGCATTCGTCCTCTTCAGAAATTTGCATAAAAGAAGATAAATATTATCGCAGTTTTTTTCGTCAAGTTTTCCTATTACCATTGAAGCAACATATCGTCCTCATGTGTCTGTAGTTTCATCTACAGCAAACTATATAGCATTGTCACTCCCCGTGCAGCTTTGCTGCTTACATCAACGGTGTAGAATTCCACTCGCAACGCTTCAGGCTCCACCAACAGTGCAGCAATTTTCAAGCAGAAATTTTTGCCATTCTGCAAGCTCTTAACTGGTCAAATCTTCACTATAATGACAACAATATCTCCATTCTATCTGATAGCAATTTTGCAATTCAGCTCATCAATAGCCACGCCACTCATCCTATCATCAACAACATCCATAAAATTATCGTCATTTCTAACAACAAATATTCCTTTAGTTGGATTAAAGCCCACAACGGTATTGCTGGAAATGAGCGTGCAGATCTGCTCGTCAAGTCTGCTGCTGCTGATAGCACCCTTATTATCATCTACTACAAGCTCCCCTTTGCTGTTTACTTCAGCAAGCTAATTAACAGCTGTCAGCAACGTTGGAGAAACAACCACAACAAGACTGCCTTCTGCTTTTTCCCATTCATCAACGACACTCTGCACGCAACCTGGCTCACCCAAATCACTTCAACATCCAGTTCTTTACCGATCATGGACGTTTTCATATTATGGAATAATTCCAGACAATTTCTTTTTAAATATGTCTACTTAGTTTACTGCTCTAAGTGTAAATATCAAATCCAAACAAAAACATCTGAGATGTATAAGTAAAAAACTTATGCCAATTTAAACGATAGTCAAAGTTTTTCTTAAGAGTTTTTCTTTGGTAGAGATAAGCTTGGAGCTTGGAAGCGATTTGTAGAAAACAATAATACAGATAAAAATTTTGTGGGTAAAAATAATTTTCAAGCGCCAAGCTCATCTTTACCAAAGATTAGCTCTTAAGAAAAAATTTGACTGTTTTCTAAATTAGCATAAGTGTTACTTAGCACAATTATTTTACATCTTATATGTTTTTCTTTGGATTGAAATGTTTCATAAAATATTTTGATTATAGGTAATTATTTTTATCAATAATAGTAATTTCTTGAAGTAGAATACTTTTTCAATAATAATATAGAAAAATATTTTTATACTTTGGTTCATTTTCAGTATGGCGTTAACCCAATTTGAAGCAATGTACGCTCGAGAAGCTTTTCCTTGTTTTGACGAACCTGCATTGAAAGCTACCTTTGATATAACGATAATCAGGTGGAGGAACATGACTGCTCTTTCCAATATGCCTATTCTCAGATCGGAAATGAGGTAATTAACTCGTCTGTAGAGAATGGTTCTATGCATGCATGAATTTCCGGAATTGTGAGACAGGTTTTTCGAAGTGCTCGATTTGTACGAGTCATTTTACTCGATTGTAAAGTGTATTGAAGTCCAAGATTTGATTTTTGAGCATTTGTCTTGTAACACACGTGTCATTCGTTATTATTGTTGTGTGTAAACACTTTTATACACTTATTCTCAGTAGTTTCGGAGTTGTACTCCGAAACTACTGAGAATAATGCTCACGATCATATAAATATTTTGCTTACAATGACTTATAGTATAGGTCCTGTACTATATTTCTCCAAGATATTTCGCTCTTCTCCTGACTTATAAAGAGTGTTATATATACATGAATGTGCATGATCTCAAGTTTTGGCTGTATTTTCAGATAGAGGATGGAGAAGTCCGAATCCGCTCGAGTTCGCTTATTGTAAATGTTTAAGCCGTCAACACTGTGGGTTTGCGCATGACATAATGTCGGCTGCTTACCATTCGTGTTATTCGGTGTTCATCCTTGATCGAAGCTGTCATTATGCCAATTATTTTGTTTTTCTCATTTCAGTTTTATTCTAAGGTGTGTACACACGCACTCGTAGTTTTAATCTTTTTTATTATACATTTCAAAATACAGTTTTGTATTTTTGCTGTTTGTGAGATAAAAATAATTAAATAATTTTACTACTGTAACGTATTCGTTTTCGTTGGATTTTTGAAACCAAGTTCAGCGCGGTTGGAAAAAAGTAATTCTTACTTATGTAAAGTCCTACAGGATGTAACCCTTAATAAGTCGGGCAGTGTTTGTGTTTTCATTTAATTTGTTTTATTACTCAATTACTTGTTTGGTCAAACCAAAGGTAATAATACACATTCACCAATAATAAGAATGCTAAATTAAAGTATTATCTTAATTAATATTTAATTAGTACATAAGTAAACATATTAATCTATATTTAGTGTGATTGGTATCACTAATATCGTTAATTTATTATGTAATTTACTCATTATAAAATAAAATACAAAAATTAAAATTGTTTCTTTTTGTGTTATATAGAATTAAATCTGTTTTCTGCTTAAATTTGGATTAAAATAGAAAATTTTAAATTAGGGGAAGCGAGTGGTTAGCTGATGTCTTCGAAAGGTCTATGAAAATGTCGACTTATTTGGTAGCGTTTGTAATAGGAAATTTGACTAAAAATGGAGATGAAAACGGAAGGGTAAGTACTGTACATTGGCTATTTGAACATGACTGAGATCAGGAGAGAATCTGAGAAACGAGTATTCCCTCAAAATTTTTATCGCTAATACGAATTTTTAAAAATAATGTTTATCTTTATATATAAATGAAAATGTTTGTTTGTTCGCTATACACTCCTAAATACTTTAGATATTGATTTTAACATGAACATAATTATTACTAATTTGATCTCTTCCTCCTGTTTTCCTGTTTTAGTTGTTCTGTTTTTAATTTTTCAACTTAATATAAATTTGAAAAACATTTCTTTTTATTGAAATTGGAACGGAGAAATAATAGTTTATCACTTTTGGCACTGATTGGCTTTATATATTTTTGATATTCAAGTGTTTTATCTTTTATTATTATTAACAAATTCAAATGTGGTAGACATCGATTTTTTTCATTTCTAATTCAAAAATTATGTTTTTTATTTAATTTATTAACTTGGGTTAATATTTGATCTGGTGTAATTTTCTGCTGTTCAAAAGTCAACACGCAGTCATCCACATATCTATTGAAAAAAACAATTCCACTTGTACTTGCTACTTTTTATTTTTATACCTGGCCTTTTTGAGCGGTAGAAGGCCTGAAATCACAAATAAAAAAAAGCTATTTTAATATCTATAAGTTTGATTACTAATTCTGTAATTCTGCCAATCTTAGGCCAACACATGTGCCCATTGAGATCATTCCTTTTCTGTATAATATACATTATCAAAATGAAAATTATGTTTTTTAATTATAAATATACTCAGCTCTAGCAACCATTCTGGATAGTGCATTGTTTGCAAGGCGTCTTGAATATCACTTATATATGTTACTGTGAATGACCGAAATCTGGCGAATGTCAACATTCTCCGGTGAATGTCAACATTCACACAGTCGTTTCGTGTATGTCCGAAATATTTGCTAAATATCGTTATTTCTCACTTACACCGGCAAATGTCGACATTCAGAATGCGCTGATGGTGAATGTTGAATAAAAATATTTTTATTACGTTAAGACAAAAATGCAACTTTTTAATATGTCAAAATAGGAGAAAGCTTAAGTAATAGTACATGTAAATAAACTGTTGAACCTAAAACGAACAGTACATTCTATATCATTAAAGAAAATAATACAATAATAAACTTGCACATAAATTATGTGATTAACATTATACAATCTTATTTATTGCAACAACTTAAACTGTTATGGCATTTTGAATTGCACAAGAGTCCCTTGCTTTTACAACTGCATTTATTCGTGGAACACTTTTTTTGCAATGACAGCGTGTAACCTTGCCCTCCACTTTTCGAATTAGCTGCAGCTGCTTCTCTCAGTGATATTTCTTGAGAAGAAATCTTATCTATGGAAAATTTTCTTTACAAATTACGAACTGATTACGGGTATAAAGCTGCTTGAGGGTATCATTTTTGTTTGCTAATTTATAAAAGTCGGACTTTTCTATTCTAACAACAACTGCCAACACATTTCGGGCATCTGTACGGCCACGGTCAACATCACGGACTTGTATTCGTACGGTATCACCAATTTGAGAAGAAGGAAACGGCGAAGAATTTGGCGACAGACTGTTGCCTCTCCGTCGACTGTTGCCTCTCTTCTCGGGTGTCGTGTCGACCTCCACCAAAGCTTATCTGTGCTTGTCGACATACACCGGCGATTGTTCGAATGTATAATAATATAACAAAATATTCGGTCTTTCACCGACGTATTTTGTATGTGTCGACATTCACCGGAGAATATCGACATTCTCTAATTTCGGTCTTTCATAGTAACATATATATGCTAGGATACATACTCTTGATATCAAATGAACGTATTCTGTGACTTATGTCTATATGAAAGTCTTAAATTTATTATTAGCTTATCAGTATTCTTAATACTATAACTAAATATTTTCAGTTTATTCAATTTGTTCTTTGCAAATTTTTCCAAACCATAAAGTACATAAGAGAAACACACTATTTCCAATTAAAATATATTTATTGTAACGTAATCTTGTATGCCACTACAATTAAGCATTTCGGGCCAACGCCACTTCTCATATATAGAAGTATAGAATAAAGAAATTGCAACGAAAGATTGGAAGAAACAACCACAGGGTAAGTCAACCAAATATTGCAATAATATTTTTATAACAAATGTGATAAAATAGTAAAAAAATGTGAGTATCCATCATTAGAAGAAAAAGAAAACTAGATGGATAGTTCAAGTAACGTATATTAAACGTATATTACTGAGTAAGGAAAATAAATTTAAATTATTTTGATGGTGGACATCGGAATCTGCGAAAATTCTCCAAAGATGCTATATGTAGGCTGCCCACCAACCACACAGCAGTGTGGATGCATCTTGTTAAACTCTTCGGCGAATAGCCACTATCAAACTAATTTGAATTTATTCGTCCTTATTCAGAGTGTGATTTAACTATGAAAGAATAAACGAATCAAGATAATTCCTATGGTTCCTGACTTATGAGATACTCCTTGAAGTTCCCAATTCAAGGTGTTCCATTGCTCTATCCAACAAATATAATAGATATCAATATGTAACCGGTTCAAACATCGTTATTCTCTAGGATTTATCGCATCTACAGATTCCAAAAATATGTTATTTTACCTAACCTCATTTTGGGTAAAATAACATATTTTTGGAATCTGCCTATCTGTCTCATATTGATATTTTAAAAACGGAATAGAAGCGGAAAATTAAAATATGATAAATATAATTTTTAGGGAATGGGGAAATGGATTCCATAAATTTTAGTTTTAAGTTTTTCGAATAGGAATTTGAAGCTGTAAAAAATTAAATTTATTTCTTAAAGTACTCTACAGATGAATTAATTATAAAGACAAGTCTGAAAATTAATATAAACTTTTCTATTGCACTTACAACAATGGCACATTACAACAATTTTGTGTATGCAAGTACAGTACAGCAATGATGAATTAGTTAATTAAAATAACACAACAGTTACAGTTGCTGATTTGTAAGAACAATTTCGTGTAGCATGGTCTATTAGCGTTACCATCATCAGTATAATTCTCCAAGTATGTTACTTTCTATCGTTGAACACACTGTGTTCCGCTGGGCCAATAAACGGTGGCCATATTAAACAATATCAACTTTGTCGTAAATGAACTGAATTGCTATTCGAATTACAAAATAAATCTTCTTACATATCAGTAACTGTAACTGTTGTGTTATTTTAATTAATTAATTCATCATTGCTGTACTTGCATACACAAAATTTAATTTAATCTTTGCTTTTGGGATGGTCTTCTTTTTTCATTTGCCTCAATTTTGTAACGCATTTCAACTTGTACTGTACTATCGAAGAATTTTGAAACTAAAATTTGTTTCATGAAAGCCTTTACTTCAGACCGTGAATACACACCATATATCACGACATTCTCGGTTATTCGACGAAGAAAAACTGTCCATTATTCTAGTTTATATATTGAAACGTTGAAGAAAACAATTTCAATTACTTTATATTAGTGTGAGGATCCGGGCGCGATTTTGCGTAAAATTAAGAAAAATCTTAAGCCTATTTCTCCGTTGCGATCGTAAGGAAACAGATTGAATATCACCCGTACTATCAACAACTGGCTGAGAAATATAACATCTGAGTTTAAACGATAAACAACAAAGTGTTAAAGGAGGAGAAAGTAGATTGTGGACGTCAAAACAGACGGAAGCGTACAAGTCTCAAACCAAATATGGACATGACAGCTGCAGCTGGATGACGTCATAACGTAAGCAACGGTAACCCTTCACCTCACACCTGCAGATTCGTCATCCAAACAGTCGATCACCTGACTATTTTTCCTAAGCTAAAGTGATAAAAGGGAGGCGAGAACTCAAGTCATGCTTGACTCTCTATCATGAAACGCCATCAAGGCTTCTAGGACAGCGATTACAAGACAGACTCCACGACGCAGGAGAAGACTTCTGTCCCATCATATCCGGAATAGCCTAAAGCGGACTTTTCCATAGAAAACGACGGCTCGAATCTCCTTAAAGAAAAGAAGACTTCGTCCCCGGGATCAACCTCTACAAAAACTGAGAAGTACTGTACATCCTTCTTTGAAGTATTTTTGTAAACTCTATCTCTCTCTTTCGAGCGCATAGCGGCTAGAACGCGAACGGAGCGCATGAATATTTTGTCGTGTCGCCTTATATGTAAATTCCGTATTTCTGTAGATGTATATCCAATATTTCTGCGTATTCTTAAATTTAGACGTTTTTATTAAACTTATATTTTTATTCATTAACCTGTCTCCTGTCTTTGTCAAACCGTGGACACCTGTCGACGTGCTCATTGACCTCCCTACTCGAAAAATAACCTTCCAACTCAACTTTGTTTACCATCCGCGAGTTAGGACGCGATTAACTTGATCCTAACTGGTGTCAGCATCCTGACGTTGGCCGGATCTTGCAATCCCGCCGTCAATTTATCCTTAAAGCCATCCAGAGACTCCGAGATCGGGTATAGCCTGCCCGTGCCGTGTAAGTGGTCATTGGAGATCGTCCCAGTGGCCCCAGCTTATCTCACATTAGTGCCAACAAATAACATTCTTATTATCAAAATTCACATTAGTTATAAGATCCATAAATATTGTAGCTGTAACAAATGCCACTCTTAATGAATTTTTTTAGAATAACGTTGAGATATAATAAATTTACATTCTTATTTCATGTTTTGTTTCAGATACAGTTTTGGGCGTCTCCGGAAAAAATTACGGAAACAGGTTTTGCTTTACAAACGGCAAATGAAGTATTGCCATTTTTCGAGAGACTGTTTCAACTGCCTTACGATGCTCCGAAGATAGGTAAGGGATATTTTTTAATTATTTTAAATAATATTTTAATAAAATTTATTATCTTTGATGCATCCGATATTTACTTTAATACATGCATCACTCTGGATAGAGTATTACACTAAGAACAAAGATTGACAAAGAGGTATGCAAAAACAAGGAAACCAAGCATATTGATAAACTAAACTTTTGGTGTCAATAACTGCCAGCTAACAACTGAAATTATAGAAAGATAGCAATCGTTTCGTTTGAAACATCTTTAACAAAATTAAGAAAGTAAGCACACGATTCATTTTTCTCAAGAATGTGACTGGACAAGACCAGTCACATTCCAAAGAAAGGATTTATAGTATTAACCTACATTCTGTATCATAGAAGTGCATTCGTAAATTATGTGAACCTTATAGCGTTTTTCAAAAAATGATTATTTTTGTGTATTTTATTTGTGTTATCATGCAGTAAGCTATTTAATTCATTTGTTAAATTTTACTAATTTCAGATTTACATAATATGTATAAAAATGATTATTATTGTGTTTTATTGTGTAGTACTAAGCTTTTATATTAATTTGTTAAATTGTACTAACGTCAGTTTTTATGTAATACTTTAATCCTCTTTAACAAGCTGAGATTCATACAATAAAAAATTAGGTGAACCGTCTAAAGGTTTTTTCAGTTGCCCATGAGTGCAAGGCAGTGCTAAGGGATTCATGAATATGTTTCATCTATCTCAGGGAAATCAAGATATAACGGAGAGGAGAATACAACTTTATAGTCAGTAAAGATTGCAATAGATTTAGAATTGTGAAGAGTCAGACTCTATTGATCTTGTGCTATCTCTGCTTGGTAAATGGTTGTGGAATGATTTTAGCGCTGTTTGAGAATGTGCAGATATACGCTTAAAAAATCAGTTTTATAACTGAATATATTATATATCACATCATCGATTGTAATGTATTTTGCTAATTCACCCAATTTTTTTTTTATTTGAATTGGATTGAATAGTGGAATAAGGCAACTCCATGAGTGATGTACTGTACCAAGGGAGTGCGTCTCTCGGTAAGATTTTCTATGAGAAACTCTCCTCTACATACATGTTAGAACGATGAAGAAAATCTGGAAAACTTTACATGGCCTGCTCATTGGTCAGATGCGAACTCGCGACCAGTGTTTATGTGATGTCGAATTGTGACGGAAGAGAAATGGAGATTCGTATGTGGGTGTTACGAACAACGAGACAAACTCGATGTATAAAATATTCGTCCCGGTTTATTAATACAAAAGGGACTTACAAAAACCAGTGCTCTTGGTGTTTGCACAAGCGATGAGAAAGTCTATTTGGTCTTCTCTTTTTTAGAATAATCCCGAGAGATGGTCTGTTTGATAGAGAAAGGTCCTTTCAATCATATCAATCCAGTGAGATAGTCGAAAGTGAGATTGGAGACACAACAAAGAAATTTTTTTTCATCTGGATTGAAAAAAAATTTCAGGATTTTATAAGGAATTACACACACACATAAACGTATGCACACAGACGATGGCTTTTATATTAGTAATATTGATATATTGGGTTAATCATTCTTCATGCTAATGTGAGACCCTAAAGGCCCTGGGTCTAATTTATGAATTTTTATTAATAAGGGAAAAATATCGACACAAAATATTACTTCATTTTTTTGTGAAAACTAGTGTTTTAGACGTGGGAAAAAACCAGATAACAGATGCTACTTCCTTTCACAGAAGAGAACATCCTCTGACTTTCCCTTATCTGGTTAAAAATCTCACTCAGATGGGAAATGGTTACCCCTCTTCGATTCCCCTGTCGTCCGTTCTCACGAAAGAGTTACTGGCCGATGATTGGTCGAAATTCAGGAGATATAAGGGGAAATTAGTCCAAATTCGGGGAGTTCTTCGACAGATCCGAAGCGTCAAACTCCATACGTTTTTCCTCTTGATGACCAACGCCCTTAAACGAGTCCCATAGACTAAGTTCCGAGTCTAAACTTAGTGAAGATACTTTTTTTGTGCACGTATTGATCTCCCGTACGAAGAAGTATATGAACTCTATCTACAAGGTGTCCCTTATCTGCAGAGAAGAAGACGAACGTCAACTGAATCAGGTCGTATGATTTAGAATGATTTTGTGAGCTCTCTCTCTCTCGATCGCGCGTCAGTATAGAATAAGTCTTTGCCTATATCTTGTCTCTTAATTGTCGTTCATCGATTATTTGTATTCGTTTTGTTTTAGAATTATTAAATTTACTCTTGTTAAATTTACTTACATGTCTCTTAAATTGATTCCGAATCAGATCGCATACGCGTGTTAATCCGCGTATAGTAAGATTGATTAACTGGTGTCGGGACCCTGACAATTTGGGATAAAGACCTCACAATCTTGAATCCCCTTTCCTTAAATTTACCGCCCTCCTACAAAACGTTACGAGAGCCGATCTCACGATCGCGCGCCGTAAGTGTCGTAGACTAAGCTCTACGTCCTGGCTGATCTCACATCTGGTGCAGCAGGAGTGGGGTGTCGAACTGAAAACCTTTGAGAAATCGCAAGTGGTATAGTTAAAGGTGGGGTCTAGAACTTCAAATCCCCAGTAGAATCTCACAAGTGGTGTCACGGGAGTAGGATTTTCGAACTAAAAGAAAAACACCCGTAATAGAATCTCACAACTGGTACAGCAGGAGTGGGTTTGGAATCTTTAACAACTTGTAGTAATATATCATAATTAATATAATATAATCCGAGATCTGATTCGGATTGAGAGACATATAGTCGATAATTGTTGATTTGATTTGAATTTGGAGAGGTAATTATATAAGATAATTTTTAAGTTAACATAAATATAAGTTGGGATGGA